CAACAACAAATCCTCATCAACAAAAGAACTTAGTCTAAGAATCATTGCTACAAAATTAAAGCATAAAGTGAAAAAAGTAAAACAAAAGTATATGTTTAAACTCTTGTACACACACACACACAGAAAAGTGAACTTCATCTGTCACTGGAGTCTAGCAAGGACCGTGCAAGTCTAATTAAAGATGGAGCCTACTCCACAAGCCAGAATGAAGAAAAAAACTTTCTGGACCAGTGCCCTAATAGTGGCACCAAATCTGTTCACAAATCCAAACAAAACCCTGATAGATAAAAACATAAGACTCTAGGCTCTAAACACTGGTGGGACTCCAACTTCCCAAAATTAACAATCCAGACACTGCGTAGCCTGGCACTTGCCTCTTGTCCAGTCAGGCAAAAGGGAGGTAGCAATTTCCATAATTGATGACACTGTCCCAGGCTAGCCTGGCCACTACCAGCTACCCTACACAAGCCCCAAGGCTATAAGCTAATTGGACTGGAATGTCCACCCAGGGACTGGGCCATGTGGCCCTGTGGTCAGATCATGGAGTCAGACAGTGTTTTACCATAAAGCTACAAGTAAACTTAGGACTCACAAAATGAAAAGAAAAACTTCTGAAATGATAGCTGGATGATACTAAGACTATTAAAAAGTAACAATCAAGAAAACTAATATAAAAGTAATCTATACATTATAATCTGCATGAAACTGGGGTTATCAAGGCAAAACATCATATGGTTTCAATGGAAAATCCAGAAGTAAATTCACCCTCTGGAGCATGATATGGTCAGATTTTGGTCGAGAGTGACCAGCATGGTACATACAAGCAAAAAGTATAGTCGAGCAGAGCGTGTGCAACAACTGACAAAAAAACTTGACTCACAAAACCAAACAAAAAAATCCAAACTTTAAACAAAAGATTCTTAACTATCAAAACTATCATTGGAATTCATCAAACTTCTAAATGATATCAAAAAGAGAGGAAATTTCCTTACCTGAAAAGGAGAGAACACAGACAAGGTGGTTGGAATAGGAAGTGAATGGTACAGCACTGAAGCATGCTGGACCACACCACCTAGACCAGTGCACCACCCCCATCCAGGGTCACTCCACTTTCAAGAAGGGGATCGATCTAACTGTCTACAGTAAGCACAGGTGTAGTGGGCTAAACCAAGTTGAAACTCCAAAAGCAAAAACAAAAAGTGGTTGGGGGTATATCATACAAAAGAAGAAAACAATAAAGAGTAAAATTTTAAGGGGACTAGTAAACAAAAAAGAGGGGGGCACACCTCTTACACATGTATCGAGCAACACGTTTTCGTCTTTGTGTGAAACTGGTTATCTCCGCGCAGAAATAAGTGCTTTACCTGAAAGAAGGATAAGGATGCCAGCAGTTGAAGTTTACACCAGATCCAATATCAGCTACAAGCCAAACACTTCCCGGGGAGCCGAGAGGGTCTCAAGCAATGCATTATAAGCTCGAGATCAGGAGAGAATTGTGGTGATTATATCACTCTGAATGCCAACGAAGTGCAGTGGCCTATTTGTACAGGTACATGCTTCAGTGGTACACATTTGCATTGAAAATAACCTGATCGTAAAGGGTTCCGTGTGTACGGGCACAACATGGTTCCTTCCTGTTTGTGTGAAGTGTAACATGTAGAGCCATGTTGTGTCCGGCTTAGAAATGCCTTGCGCTATAATTCCATTGGCGCTTTGCTTTAATGGGTTTTAAAAGGAGAGCACAGGTGCAGAATTTGGTAATTTGGAAGAATTTTTCACGGTGGTGGTTTGTCATCTGCAAGGTGACAACATGGAATATACGTCGTTCATTTTCCCAATGTCTGCATTTTTTTCCACATGCGTTCCTGCTAGTTGCACGAACGTGCCGATTCCGTCGAAAGCGATCGGTCCATTCTTATTTCTTTATGTCTCAACAACTAGACAAAAGCATAATTGTCACTATCAGTAGTTAGAGAAAATCTATATTTCTATCTCAAATCTTGTCTGGCTAAATGCCATTGGTGTCTCAGCCGGCATTAATAAATTACGTAATGGTAATCTGTGCAAATTATTTCAGATGTAAATAACAGTAATTTACAATAATACTTAAATTTATTGTTGTTTGTTTCACCTCATTTCTCCAACCACCCTCTTGGTTTGAAACAGTTGTTTCCATTACCGAATCTGATCACATGTACTTCCACGGACCCTCTTCGTCCTTTTTATCACCGGATTATTGGCTTGATCACGAGAATCAAAAATAATTTTTAATCTTGCAAAATGGAAACAAGTATCTATGACGATCAGGACTTTTTGATTTTGAGGAACACGTTGTTTTATTGTTGTTACTTTTCACAAATATCCATCGAATGAACGTCACTTTTACGTGCATGCCCTCAAGCATTGGGGCCCTTTGGATCGAAGCACCCATCCGCTTTACTGCCCAAACCCAAAATATTAGCATGAAGTTGGTATAAAGTCTTTAAAACTTGCTCTTATTGCACAAAAACGGCAATTATAACACCTGACATTGATATCATGAATGCATTTGGGTTGACTGACTAGTGTAGTCTGATTTTGGCTCTTTTTTCCATTTTTTTTTCAGAGTAACATTTACTTTTTTTTCCCCCAAAGTAACGTTTACGAAAGTTGGGCATGCATTTAAGAAAACAGAACTTCCGCATAAAAGAGGCCAAATCCACGAGAAAAACGATTTGGAGGGAGAAAAAACCGCCCTGGACTTCAGCCAGTCTTGTATTATCCACACCCTATACGTACCGAGTGGGATAGGACCACTTTAANGGGTCCAACTTTGACACAGATATGACCACTTTATTGGTCCAATTTTGACACATGATGGACCTAAATGAAAGCAACGCCTGCACATAGTTCACTCAATTGGGCCAAACTGAGGACTTGGACCCTTTCCATAGTTCTACATGTATTGTATTTTCAGTTGTCATTGTACCTGAGATTTGAGAAATAAACAGTTCAAAATAGACTTATAATTATTTTAAAATCCGTAAAAACAAGTTTCCGTTGATCAACTGTAGCTGCAGCAGACGTAGACATACTCCATCTTCCCCTTCTTTGTGGTTGCCATGCCGACGCCGAGTTGCTGGGAAGTTTTCCAAGCAAGCTCAGTCGTGCAGGTCGAGATTGCATTCCACCGGTTTGTGAAGCGGCCTGAAATAAACGACATATTACATTCCCTATTTATCCCAAGTTCAGGTTTCACTAGTTACGTATTTATGGCACGCTATTTCCAAAATTACAATATTTCAGAGCCAACTATTGTGCGTTCAATTGATATGACATGTCAGTAGGCCTATAGGCGTGGAACATCTCATCGTTTTGTCGCTCTTGAGCTGCACAGTGCGAGGGACTGACGATTCATATCGTCGGTAAAGGCGAGAGTGCACTGAAATACGCAAGCTAAATAAAATTCGACGATTTTACTTTCTTTTGTTAGTTTTCATCGATGATTAAGCATTGGGCCTGCCTGTAGTGTTTTTAAATATGAGACTGTAATCCTACCCATGTTTCCGTCTTTCGCTGTTTCATCGCAGAAAAATGCCGCTACCTCAACGCCTGCGGAATCGTAAAACAGAAGAGCGCTCTTCAGAAATATCGTTGTAAATAGTGGATTCAACGGGCTATGACTTTGGCAAGATATGGAGATGGCTTATACGATTGCCCAAAAAAGCACTTAGTACAAACGAATCCAAAATATAAATCGAGCAACCGAGATCTATACAAACACGTTTAATAGCTGATGATTGGACAAACAGTGGGTAATTTGACAAATAGGCTTAAAACAATTTACACTGTAGAAGCTGGGAGAATCAAAAAGAAAGGCTGCACTTAATCGTCGGATGAGTGGAGGAAAGGATCAGACTCACCTTTGACGTTCGAGATGTCAAAATTGTACGAACCGGCCATGAAAATGTTCTCCCCGTAGCCGGGCCGGTCGCCTCTCGGGCTGAGCTCGAATTTCTTCGTGTTGGCCATCTTCGTCGCCCACTGCTGGGCGTGCTTGTTAAGCTTGGCATCCAAGGTCAGAGGGGCCAAGTCGTGCTTCCCTCGGCTCACGTTGTGTGCCCACAGCATCTCCCTCCTGACCCGCTGGAGCGGCGTCTCTTTCCCTGAAGGCAGCGGTGGTGCCCCGGCCCCGTCCGCCGATCGATTGCTGCTTTGGCCCGCTACGTTCTCGCCGCCGTCTCTGCTTGTCATCTTCGGTGCGATTGGGCCATCTGTAATCTGAAGTATCAAATCAAACCCAGCGAAAAGTTTAAGTTTGAGGCTGAAGATAAAGACAAACCACAAATTAAGCTTTTCCAACCGTTTCCTCATGCGATCCCTTCGCAAAAACCCGCTTCATAAGAGCCGTTTTGACAGACTCGGGAAATCATCAGCAGGTGATCAGCAGTCATCAACATTTGCAATGATATCATAGAAAAAACGTTACTCTTCTTTGCCAAAGTGAAAAGAGGAGCCATGGTTTCTGGCAAACTCCATTCTCGCCGAACGCCTGCTTCTCTTTAACCATACTTTACTGAAGCATCATATGATACGATACAGCCGAATAATACACGCCTACGAAATGAATGTTACAAGAGGACATTCCTACGAATATAAACGACTCAAAGTCTTTCCAAATTGAAGATTCTGTCCGGACACTTTTCAAAATCTTCTAAAACTGACCGGTAGTGGGACGTTTTGCTCGAAGCGTCCAATCACGTTGCCTGGAGGACCGTAGTTGCAGCAGACGTACACGTAGCCCATATCTCCCTTTTTGGTGGTTGTCATGCCAACGCCCAGCTCCTTTGAATCCTTCCAAATAACTTGTGTGAAGTGACCTTCATGAAAAAAAGGAAGCAGTTAGAGTCGCTCACACTCACAACCTTGGATTGACCTAAAAGAAATTCAGGAAAAAAATGCAAAATAAAATAATCAGGGCCTAGAATTTTACTCATTCACAGTTACAAAACAGTCCCATTCATGATTATGCGATCCAATATAAATCAACTTGACCAAGCAGACTATAAACTCTTTTTTCACAAGCAAAACTATTTCTTCATAAATTGAAAAATATGCAAGTATCAAAGGGAAGAAATGAATTGATGTCAAAGTAATAAGTGGTATTATTGTCTGGTCTCCCTGCTTCCCTTTTTGCCTATTGAAGGAATAGAGCGTATCTAAAAAACAAACCAGTAAACAAGCCCCCGTATTTGCCCAACCATTTTTTTTTGTCAACACTGAACTTGTAAACCAAATGAAAGGTGTACCTATCTGCCCGCCGTTCCTTTTCCGTTCTCCGGGCCGCTTGTAGTCATAGTCTTTGATTTCATTGTAAAATGCTGTGATGGAAGTACCGCCTGCAATTAAACACACATGAAACAAAACTGAGTTGACTACGTGTCCAGCATGAATTACTGCAATACACTGTACAAGTTCAATTTATATCGCAATGCAGTCATGCACTTTTGTTCAGGCGAGACGAACTTCATATAAGGCAAGTTACTCCTCATTGGATAGCGGTAAATAAGCAAAATATATAAGACCGCAGGAAATGGAGAAGCTCATAATTACCTTTGACCTCGTGGACACTGAAATGTGTTGAGCCAGAGTAGTATATATTTTCACCGTAGTTGGACCTGCTCTTACTCGGGCTATGTTCAAACTTTCGCGTGGACGCCATCTTTTCGGCCCACTTTTGGGAGTACGCGTTGATCTGGTCGTTCAGGACGAGGGGCGGTACTCCGTGCCTCGCCCGGTAGATATTGTGCGTCTCCAGGGCCTCGCCCCTCACACGATCCAGTATCGATTCTTGCAAGGGAGGGAGTGAGGGAGGCTCGGCCCCATCTTCCGGAATCACTCCCTGCGTTTCTTTTGTAATGGTCTTGAGATCGACACTGGGTGTGTGTTTCGAGTTTGATGAATTGTTGTGTGAAGTGAGGTTCGCATTATTATCCCGGCTGTCGTATTCTGTAACAACGTCAGAAGGTGCAATCTCTCTTGGACGAGGTTCACTCCTAGGGACATCCAGCTTCGTTGCGATTAGGGAGTTCAGGTTGCCAGCGTTTTCTTCGATGACAGGTGCAGTATCGTTAAGCAAGACCTCGTTGTCCTGTTGCCAAGGATCTTGTGGCCCCGGCAAATCAATCTCGTCTGAGGTTAGATTCACCTGAGTGAAGTTTTCACTGACTGTCACCGCAGCAGGTTTGGATGAGGTAGACTCTGTTTGCTTTGGGTCCGATTCATTGCCTGTTCCCGTGAGAGGTTCATCGATGATTTCATTAAAGTTGTTAATATAGCCACCGCCTTCTGTTTCCTCAGCCTCGGGCCTTGGTATTTGGTCCTCATTAGGGGGCATACTAGGACTATCTGTTCCGTGGCATTCCTGAGATTCAGGGGGAGTGGAATGGTCCGAGCCAGTGCCTAATTTTTCTTCTGTTGGTTTAAGTCTCGGATATGAGCCACCCTGCTTGCCTCTGTTTGTCGGCAGAAGATGTGATGTGTTTTCTGTATATGCATCTCGCTTTTTCAAAGAGGCTGAGTCCGTCGTGTTAATACCCACTGCCGGGTGACGGCCAAGGCCTGATTTTTGCTCCCTCTCACCAACCGTCCGGCTCTCGAGGGGGTTAGAGACTCCGACCTTACCGTTCTCGCTGAGGCTGATCCCTGTTTGCAGCAACGGCGCAGGACGGGTGGCACTCTGGTCGGTGCGACCCGTGCCTCCATCCTCGACGTCTCCACTGGTTTTGCCTCCATGATTCTCCCGTTGCCTGTCGTCACCACTGACGTCCTGGAATGCACTGGGACGGGGCGGTTTCTCCAACTCGCCGACTGGTCCGGTAGACGTGTTGGAGCTGCCGCAGCCCATTTTGCAGAATCATTTTACGCACTGGCAGCTATTCCGAGAGGATATAAATCACTGAGCACGAATCCTGAAGATTCACAGCGGCCAAAGTGCAAGGACGTCGCGTGTTGTAAAACTGGTCGAGCGTTTATCGGACCTACCTTTGAAGAATGACGTGACACATTGTTGATCGTAGCTGAGCACCTGTTGCTGGATTGTTTCATGTAGGTGTGATCAAATACATAAGTTTTCCACTGAAGCAGATCTAATATCAATGTGCTCAGCCGATCTTGCAGTTTTTAAGAGTTCGTTCACGCACGATTGAAATGAGCACAGGGATAAACAGCAGATCAGATAGGCGTACTTTCAATTAAGCGACAGGATTTTTATTTTAAAAAAATCATTGATCGCACCATTAAGCAAATAGTTGCAGCTGTGGACTTTTACATCACCATATAACGCCTCACGCACACTGGTATGTGCTTATGTCTTTGCTCTATGGTTACAAAGGTAAGCACACCGGTACCGTGCGAAATGTCCTTCATTGTTAGACGCAAGTCATGGTAAATAATAAGTGACCATTATAACTTAACGCACGTAATCCAACACACAAACGACCACCGCTACAGCAACGCACTAGGCAGCCCATGGCCACTGAAACATCGCTACGAGACCAACAAAGTATTAAGCCCCTGCCGTTTCACCGGGGAAGGCCATTGCATTTACACTCATCTGGATCTCAAACTAAGTTGCAGCCAGACTATTCTGTGGTCCGTATTCACTCATGCATAATTATGTGCAGGTGCGCGTCGCGGTCTCCATTGGCAACGCCATTCATTACGCGGATACGACACTGGGCCGGGAAATCCTTTGGCAAACACGTTGAAAACAACAGTGGCAACCCCCATTCATGACGCTAGGATACGATACTATAGCCCGGGATATCCTTTAGCAAACATGTTGTAAACAAAGTTTGTATAGTCGTTGGGGATGTCGTCACTTACACGTCTCGACCTCCGGCGGAGTACATGTACTTGTACACGGATTGTAAGATGAGAGTGCTGGTTTGAAGACGCCAATGGAGTGTTGAAGTTTCCCCATGTTTGGTGAAGAGATCTGAAGTCTGAGCGACTGAATCCGAACTGAAAGCGGAAGTGTTTTTTTTCAAAGACCCCTTCCCGACCCCGTGGAACTATCACTTGTATTTAAGTGACATTTCTTCGAATTTTGGGGTTGCTTGTAAATCAAAATGGGTTGTGGTGGCTCCAAGAGTACTGCAGTCAGCGAGCGCACTCCCCTGGTGGAAGACGGAGGTAAATCCAAGGAGAACCGCCCTGAAGCGGAGGAAAAGACCACCTGCGGGTACAGCAGATTACCCCAGGAGGAGGACAAAACAGACGCTCCCGCCAATGACGGGGACAGGCAGGACGCAGCTCCGCCAAGTGACGATCTGGAGGAGAATTCGCCGCCCGAGAAGACGACCACGAGGTACACCAAGCTGCCGCCGTCAGAGGAAGACAAGGGGCATAGTGAGCCCCAGGAGAAGGCAGAGGTCGCCGACAAACCGGAGGTGATCGCCGAAGAAGACGAAGCAGAGAAAGCAGAGGAGTAGACCTTGGTGAACGAGTTTCCATCATGTCCCGTGCATATGCCTGCTTGGAGTGTAAAATGGATAATGTAAAGAAGTTGAAATGTGGGTAACACCATCCAAACCATTCGAGGGTGAACTCGGTCTTATAATGCGAGCGAGGACGGCGTGTATGGTGACAATGTTGCAAGCATCTCCGGCTAATAAGCAAGCATTAAGCGAGAAAAAACTATGCTCTCACCTTGAGTTAGATGTTGCCAAATTAACGACACCAAACGTTTTCTTCAACCCTGTTCAGCAGGCACTAGCGTCAGTTTTTCTTGCAAAGATAAATGCAAGTGTTAATTGTACATGTATATAATTTTAATTGCATTCACGCACACCGTTCTGTTCGGTTTTCGTTTTTTTTTTTTACCTCAGTGCCGTCACTGTCAATAGAAATCCGTTCGGCATAAATTAAACGTTCTAAACGAACAAATCTGAGTACTCTTTAAGGGAGTGGTGGATAATGGAGCCAGGAAGTGATCATGAAATTGTTCACGTCGTGTGCTAGTAAAACTGATGATGCTGAAATGGTGACGTGGACGATACAGTCAAACACAGAAAAGAACTTGAGCACTTTGAATACACGGTTATATTTTATAACAAGGACAATTTTAGGTTGTTTTTCGTTGTTTTTCATTACTAATAACACAAGGTAACTATTATAACAAAGTAATTTCTAAAGTCCCAAGGGCCACGTTGTTCCACTGTATTTGTTAATGCAAATACATGCATTTTCTTTATAAGGTAGACGACCTACACTTTCGCCTTTTGTCAAGTTAACTTTGTTTATAAAATCTGCTCTTTGAGTTTCAAATACGTTTAATAAATGCACTTTCAAAGACTCTAAATACTCTCTTTTTTGTCAAATCTTACGTTTTTGGGTTATTCCAGTAAACCATGATTTGTTACACGGGGTTTGACTGTTTTTCTAAGGATTGGTCACATTTTTAATTTTATCGTGCTCGTTGGTGATAAAAATTGCATTATTTAACTTTCCAAGGGCAAATATACAATTGATATCACTGAAAAACTGAGACAAACAGTTCACAAACGTATAGGCCTCAAATGCATCCTCGAGCTCCCTCGCACCGTTCGAGCTTTTATCTTGTGAATAACGTGATATCCAATGCGACCCCCCCCCCCAGCTTTTCCACATTCCCGACGCTGGACACTGGATTTCGGTCGTCCATATCACCCCTTCCCTCATCACCTTGGATTCATATACGCGTGGTGCAATTGTCCCTGCCATCTGTGCCGTTGCTTTATACATGTTATTATATATACATGTACTCGTTGCATGTACACATTAATTTTCACGACTAAGCGCATACCATTTTTTGTGCGGCCGACTCCTCCCCCTCTTCGAGCCTTCTAATGCGCTATGATTTTGAGTGTCGTGTCAATGTTAGGTGTACTTTATAAAGCTTTCTAACCGACCTCTTTACACCTCACCGAGGATACTAACTTCAACTTGTTTCAGCTGATTGTGTAATGTGAGCGTTGTTTGGGCAATCGGCGCCCTCTATCATATCAGGGCGCTCTGTTGAAGTCTCTGAAGTGTGGGTGTGCAGCTCGCAGAAGGACTGGGAACAAGTCTAGACTGAGATGCGGATGTAAATCACAATGCACGTGCGTGTGGCGCCTATGCCGTGCCATGGGTCGGGCGGGGTACCGGGTATGTCATGTTGTTGCAAGATCAGTTTGGGTCGTGCTTGATTTTTGTCTCCGATTGTCGGGTTTCTCATTTCCCTCGCGGAATATGACAAGTCTCTCGTGTAAATGGAGGACCTAGTGACGCTGAATGTAGGTGGTTGCCTCCATACAACCACCATCACCACGCTCACTCGCTTCCCGGACTCCATGTTGGGCTCCATGTTCAGCGGCCGTCTACCGACCTCTCGCGATAGCCACGGTCACTACATCATCGACGGGGATGGGCCCACCTTCCGCCACGTCCTGAACTTCCTGCGCCGCTCGGCGCTCTGTCTGCCGGCCGACTTCTCCGAGTGGGACCTGCTGGCCGCCGAGGCGGACTTCTACCAGATCACGGAGCTGATCGACGCGGTCAGGTCGCTCCGCGAGGAGCGCCTGGCCAAACTGACTCCCCCTCTGCCGAAGACCCCGGAGATGGAATTCATCGAGATCGTCACAGACTCCGTCTCCAGGGAGTTCACCTACTTCGGCGGCTTCAACACCCTCAAGCAGATCCCGCTGCTGCTGGGGTTCTTCCAGGCCCACTCCAACCAGGACCGCAGCGTGCTGCGGCGGGTGGAGCGGGACGGGGCGGTCACGGCCGCCCACGGCGTGGTGGCCCCCAACCGCATGAAGATCTTCCAGGAGATCTCCAAGCTGGGTTTCCAGCTGTTGAACAAGTCAACATTTGGCGCAGAAAACGGATCTGAGAGGTGGTTATTTGGACGGACACCTCCCAGTTTAAGCATGGAACCGGAGAGTTCAAACTGTAGGATTTAGTTATGCAGTCGCAGTTGTCGAAGACAAGTAGAGCAATCTTGCCAAAAAAGAGGGTTCTAAAGGCATTTTTACAAAACACTGCCTTCATTTTACATTATTAGCAACTGCTTATTGCACTGTGTGACGAGTAGGCCTAAAACATGCTCATTTGTAATTCAAAATGTAAGGACATGTATCTCCATGTATGTCATAGCATTGGGACGATAACTAAGTTTTATACGTGAAATGACTTGTATTTCTTTATTTTATGAGTTTGGTCTCAGTGCATTTTGAAACACTGGAATATGTGCAGAAAATGTTTAAGAGGGCGAGTTGTTAGAAGAGGTAAGCAATTAGGTCCAACTTACTGATAGTACCTTCAGTAAGGTGACAAGGTCAAGGATAGACAAGCTTGTTCCAGGCAAAGCAGAACATGAGAAACTTTTTCATCCTCAACCCATTACTGTTTCTGTCCACTTGTTTTTATGTTTGTTTGGTCTTCAATTTGCAATATATTTAGACTTTTTGTATGTTTCTGACCAAATGCAAAGCAGTACTTATTCTAATCTTGTATTCTCAGTAAGTTATAATAAAACAGTCCACAAAATCAACTGTCCTTGTGTTGAAAATCCAAGGCAAGAAACCTTTGGTATTATTTACTTGGTTGTGGATTCAGTTCTGCAGACTGTAACAAGTATGAAAGTGTACCCACAGAGCTATGTATTTATACAATTGCAACACAGTTCAGTACTTGGTCGATTTTTGCAATCTATACCTCCTTTGGAAAGTTCTCAGAAGTAATTTCGGTTGTACATTGTCATGACAACAGTACGTACTCCATCATATGCAAATAAAATTAATTTCCAACAAGTGACATTGTCATACACAGACTAACCTGTTTTAGTGTGCATTTTTCGTAGTATAGAACAGGCTTACTTGACTGAAAATAAACAGGTAGATGCTAGAATAAACAGAACGTACAAGCACCTACTGTCGACTCTCGGTCTCAATGCAAAATGTAAGGGAGTGTAATTTATTTTCTCCTTTTTTGGAAACATTTGTAGTAATTTTGTACACCCCCTGCCAACATTTTGGATTGCTCTTAAAAAATGTAAAAATGTATTCCTAGTTTTCGGGGAAATAGTTGACTTCTTTAGGGGTCCAGTGGGGACATTTCGTAATTATGATGTGCATTGAGACATTCCATGTAATATTTTGATTAGAATTTTCTCCTGCCACTTGGTAATTTGAAGGACTAAAGCAAGTCTAACCTTGTTCCGCACAGTCTAGTTCCCAGTCCCGGTCAAATACAAATGCCCATGGGTTGAAGTACAGTGTATTCGCTGTCGGTCGGTGCACGTCGATATTGTGCACTGTCTTTCGAAATTCTCTCGTCTATAAAATTGTCACTATTTTGAGTTAAACTTAAAGAACTAGACCGGTAGTTTTGAATATCTTGTCAGGAATTTCAGATAATCAAGTGGCTGTTGCAAAGACATTCATTTTTATGCATGGCCCAGCTCTCGTCGACAGCTCGGCAAGTCAGTCACTCACTCCGAACGTGTGTGATGATAAGGTGGGTTGTTCTAAAAACCCCACGACCCATACCCGGTACCCCCTCATACTCCCTTCATATCAGAAGAATGGAAATTTGTGATGTTGCATTTAGAGCACTACTCACCTCAAGCTGCACACCAATGAATACAGTAAACTCTTGATAACTTGAACCCTGGGTAATGGATGAAAACTTTGAGTCACCTGGCATGCCTGGCTTTCGAGCCAACGATAAACATGATAAAGCCTGAGTCTTATTCACACATACACGCACAGTGCACAAGTCCTTCCTCCATGCTTGAAATAACTTTGCACTTTGTGCACTGTCTGGCGTCATGTTCATTCATTGCATTGGTTCTCAGATCTGGGCCCAATTTCATGGTACTGCATAACTGCAAGCGAAAAATCGGTGCTTAAGTTACTGTATGCCTAGCAGAAAATTATGTGCTTATGGTGAACATATTTCATGGGTTAGCAAGAATTTTAGCTTGTGTGCCTAATTATGTGTACATCCGGTAACTAAGGATTCCTTGATTATAAGTTTAGTGCGGAATTTTTCTGCTACCACAGTTGGAGAATGGAGATTATAAGTGCAGAATTCTGCTGTAAGCTGCGCCATAAAATTGGGCCCAGGGCAAGAGAGAAATTGTTCTGTTGCATTGACCATTTTTCCCATTAAAATGACACACCTCAGTTTCGAATTGGAATTGACATGATTATCAGTGACAAACATGACTGTACCAAAGGAATGCATGTTTTTCTATTTTGGCATGTAGCGATGGAAAGAATGTGTGATGTCATTAAGACTGACGCACCCGAACAGCATGCTTCATAACATATTCACCAGCCCGCTGCAGCCAGCTGCCTGTGATGCCAATGGAGCATATGTCATCGACCGGGTTGGGAGCATGTTTTGGATCATTTTGAACTTTTTGCGCCAGGGGAACTCAATCTTCCACCACATTTTGACAAGTGGGGTTTCCTGGAGTCAGAGGTGAGCTTCTACCTGCTGGAAGAGCTCGCTGAGACCATAGCGAGCCTGAAGGAGAAACTCTGACTCAAGAAGATATGTGAAGCCACACTTGCAGCCCTGAGATGAGCCAGTGAGAGAAAACAGGAGGCCACGGCAATCCCGGAACTTGAATTTGTCTCCATCACAGCCCAAGTTGAGAACCACATTGGCAGGGGAAAATGAAATACCCAGGGAGTCGGGCAGTTCTCGAGCAACTTCCTGAGTTACTCAGCTTCTTCATTCCATTTTTGCCTCCTGAGATGATGGGCGAGTGCAAAGTTCAACCGTGGGGTGAGCTGGAGCGCTGTGGGGAAATAGTTGACGGGCGCAACCGTGAGCAAAATGGAGAAACGCCAGTAGAAGCACTCAAGATCTTCCGACATGCTACCAGACTTGGCTTCAGGGTGCAGAGTATTTTACCTTGCGACGATAGGAACTCGGAGAAACGGATATTCTATAGACCAGTCACATGACTCTAAAGCCCTTCTGCATCCAGCATCAGTAGCTCAAGTTGAACATGCAGGCGTGTACGTGTAGTTTGGGGTCGAGCGGGGAATGACAACCTACAGGTCAATCTTACCCATTTTGAGTGACATATCAAAGAATGCGGTTTTATGAGAAAAAATCCTAAACAAGAGATATTTTTGACACCTGATATTACGGTTTTGAAGAAAATCAGCAGTTGATTTTTAAAATGACAATTTACACCAATAATTATTGTTCAGCCTAGGCTGTTTGAGCCTTAGCCACCGGTCACTG